GATTCAAAAACCATACATCAAATCGTCGTGAAATTTTGGGATATTATTAGGTATATCCCCGGGAAGAATTTTGAAAAATAATTTCTTGAATATCTTGAATATCCTTAGAGTTATTTGCAGATTTGAAGATTTAACTCGCAAGCAGAGCCCCCATTGCGACGATGTTAACAAGTTTTTTTATCTATAAGTTTTATTATCACTAAGTTTATTATCTTAAAGATTATTTATCAAAAGTAATATTTCTACCTATTAATTGCGCACAAGTCAAAGTGAGTTTTATCATTTATCTACAACATATATATTGGGAGAATAGATAAAATGATGATTTTGTAATGTAGAAAATTAGGAAAGACAAAATTCAGGATGACACGACAATTTATTTGAGACAAGAATAATGATACAATTCAAAGGCAAGATACTATTCCTTCAACTTCCAATTACCAAGAGAACCAATTAATATTGATTTTATTCAACTTATCGAGTATTTTTCAAGGGATCGGGAAAAAAATGTTCACTTTATCGAGAGATTCAAATTTACGAGTTTCAAATTATCAAAATATATCTATTATTTTTTTTATAAGTTTATAGAGAATTGTTTAAGAAATGTTCGTTAGACAAACCTTTACTCGGGTAAAACCCGGGCGAACCCGGGTACATCCGCTAGATATATGATAAATAACATTATATATTAGTAAATTAAATTTTATTTCCCTCTATTGTTAAAATTTTACACAGTAAAAGTTTGCTAAACAAACTTTTGATAATAAATATTTTCGTGGAAAACAATCAATTTTGTACTGTATTCTTATGAAGATAAATTGATGCTTGTTACTCTTCGACAAAAACTACTAAATACCCTTTGAATTTTTGTATGTTGGTGGTTGAATATATAGATTAACATATAAGCTATTTAGTTACTAAATTTGGTAATAAACAAATCTTTTTGCATATTTTAGTAGGTTATAAAATTATAAGAGAGATATTTGCTATAAACTGATACTCAATGACCTAGCTTTGCCCCGGGTTATTGACTAGTGAAGGTTTTCCAAGCGAAAAAATGTTAACATGTTATTTATCATTTTTTTTTTTTACACAAAAAAAAAAATGATAAATAACATGTTAACATTTTTTCGCTTGGAAAACCTTCACTAGTCAATAACCCGGGCAAAGCTAGGTCATTGAGTATCAGTTTATAGCAAATATCTCTCTTATAATTTTATAACCTACTAAAATATGCAAAAAGATTTGTTATTACCAAATTTAGTAACTAAATAGCTTATATGTTAATCTATATATTCAACCACCAACATACAAAATTCAAAGGGTATTTAGTAGTTTTTGTCGAAGAGTAACAAGCATCAATTTATCTTCATAAGAATACAGTACAAAATTGATTGTTTTCCACGAAAATATTTATTATCAAAAGTTTGTTTAGCAAACTTTTACTTGGGTAAAAATCGGGTGAAGTCGGGTATATTCGCTAGTTCTCTATAAAAGTCGTTGATATTAATATTTAATGCAAAATTTTAATTCAATAACATTTTGATTATAGGGAAAATATATTGTAAAAGTGCGAAATGATGGGATCAATGTGTTTAGAAGGCACATAGGAAATGCATGCATAAAAATACTTAGCTTCTCAGACAAAAATAAAATATTCAACTTTGTTATTACATCTGCCTCCAGGGTAGAACCTGCCAGTGAAATATATGACGACATTTGATTTTTTGTCTTATGAATATTTTCTTTATAAACATGTGTTTCTTTGCAATCTCAACCTTTAAAGAAATATTTTCGTCTTTTGTTTTTTTTTTTTTAGTCCGAGAATAAGTTTAGAATAATTGTATTTCAATTTTTTGTTTATTCCATACCGAGTTTTCATTTTTTTTAATATTAAAGGCGTTTTACAAAACAAAATATTAGAAGCTATTATTACCCATCGTGGGTGTTCACACTTAGGTATTTCTAACTGAAATACAATTTTCACATGATTGTGTCTTATTTATTTGGCTCGTGCTTAGCCCGAGAAAATATAAAAAAAGAATATTTTATAATTTACCAAATTATTTTAGGCGAAAAATGTAACACAAAATATATTCGCTCCAAAGCACGAAACTGAAAATTGAGAGAAAAAAAAAATGTATTTACAAATTTATCTCAATTCATAGAGGAAACTGTTGGCAATATAGTAGGTATTATACAAAATACACAAAAATAACAACATAAGTTTTTCAAGCAATTCGATTATGCTAAAATATTGTAAGTAGTTTCTAAGTACATAGGTGTCAAATTGTAGGAGAATACTCTTCTGAATAGTTAGCACACATAAATTCTTGATCTTACCTTTAGAGAAACATGTATCAGCGCTCCAACCCATTTCAGGATTTAACCGAGTGGAGCTGAAGACTCCTCAGCTAAGAAGATTATTTTGTAATTATTTTACAAAAGAATATGCTCTCCCGAAATATAATTTGGATTTATTAATAAATATAAACGGATGTTTATTAAAATATTTGATTGCTTCTTGGAATGAATATTGACCAAATTGTTTTATCTTTACACACAAAAATCAAATCTTAGTTGATCAAGAAGTGTATTTCTCGAATACTGATAATTCAAAATGGCATTCTCTCTCTCAAAATAAGAGATAAGAAGGCTGTTCGATAAGTAGGGAGAAAATGAAATGAATACAATTTGTTTTCGGAAAATTATGTTTTATTTTTAACATAGTCCCCATTCAGCTACACACCTAGTCTCTCCAGCGATGTTCTTATTTTTATCCCCTCGTAAAAGGTTTAATGTTTCGAGGTCGCGCACGCGCTGTAGCGATTTATCCCAAAATGAATTTAGAGCTGTTATCAAACATTTATTTTCTAAACGTTGATCGTCTTCCCAAATTAAAGCCGAGCTAAACGAGATTCATGAAGACTCAGTCCCATCACACACACATTTAAGACCATTCATTACTGGATGAATTATTTAAAACGTTTCCGAAAATCAACACAAGATGAACTATGCCCCAACGGCCTATGAATACAACCACGCCAAATATGGTATCAAATATCCATTGCATCGTTAGGGAGGATCGAGGAGTGAAGATACGTGAGATAGCTGAGACCACGGCATCTCATTAGACAGGGCGTACACCTTATATCTTCAATATAAATATACAGATGAAGAAGCTGTGTGCCAGATGGGTGCCCCGATTGCTTTCGATCGACCAAAAACACATGCGGACAAAGATTCCCTCGTTTGTTGATAACTCTTAGTTTTTGGGACTTTTGGCATCGTTTTGTGAGTGTAGACGAAAACTGGATATACCGCTACACACAGGGTCCAGACAGCAGTCAACGCAGTGGACAGATCCTGGTGAAAAGGCTCAAAAGATGACAAATGCTGTTGTGTTCCAAGAAAAAATGACTAATATAAAATCACAGAAGAGTATTATCCAACACTTCTGATTAAAATAAGCATTGCGTGCCAAAGTCCGAGATAGGCTTGGAAAAAGGTACTTTTTCACCACGATAATGCTCCGCCCTATAGGTCGAATGTAGCATCTGCCAAATTGTTCGAATTAGGTTTCCAATTGGACACTCATCCACCTTATTCCCGATATTTTGGCCCCGTGTGACTTTTATCTTCTTCCCAATCTAGAGAAATGGCTGGGAGAGAGGAAGTTTTCATTTAAAGAGGTTTTCGACCATGTAAATGGTTATTTTGAGAACTCGAAACCTCGTACTTTTACAAGGGGGTAAAAAAAAGCATAAAAATTGCTGGACCAGGTGTATGTATCTGAATGGAAATTATGTTGGAGAAAAAAAAACACTATTTTCGAAAACATTTTAATATTATTTTTACCTTACTTTTAATGAACAAACCTCTGTTATATACAGTATAAATTACAAATAGAAACAGTACTGAAAGCATTAAAATTTATGATCTCTCCTGAAAATGGTAATTTTTGGAGGTTAGATTCAATTAAACAAATTCATTGTTGAAATAAAAAACCTATTTGAGTAAGAATATTATGATTTAATTACTTTTAAAAATATCAATACGAAGATTGAACATTTTTTTTGACATTTTATAGAATCGATGCTAATTCAAACAACCTCTTCTAACAAAGGTAAGACAAGCCTATGGAACATAAATCTCTGGCAGCCTCATTGTTTACGACGCTGATTGTGTTTTAGGGTGGGTTAGGATCGAATTAGGTTAATTCAAGTTTATTTTTTGCACTTATTTTCCCAAAAAAAGGGGGGGGAGGCGAGGAAACGGATTCTATTGAGCTACTAGGCATGCCTGTAATGGTGGTTCTCCACACTACATATTGATCTACCTTGACCATAACCTGTCCGTGACGAATCCCCAATGTTACAGACGAGAGATTATCCTCACTTAATCCGATTTGCTCTGTTGCGGCCTTGAAACAATTAGTTCGCTTCCTAATATCTAATTTGTTGAAATATTCATGTGCTCACCAATGCAATATACCCTATAATTTCACAATTAATGAAAGATAATAGTTCTGTTTTAATACAAGAATGATAGAATTTTTGAATATTTTTAATTTCATATCACAATAACTTACAAATATATTTAATTTGCAACAAGAAAATTTCATTATTCTATTTTTGGCATTAGAAAAAATAAAAAAAAAAGAAAACTTTTATATTAAAGTTCAGGGAAGTATAACCAATATCATATTAGAGTAAATATCTCAAAAGCCTAAGGGGATTTTGAAATAAAAATAGTTATTGTAATACTTCAAAGAAGCATTATCAATATATATTATAAAGTAATACTTAAAGCCTCCCCGCATAAGTTTCTTTTTTTGTGAAAATCAATATTAAAATTTCAAAGAGAAATATGTACTATTTCAACTTTGGATGACGTATGAAAAGGTTGAATATATGAAGAGTAATGGTCTGTCTATATATGATTGGATGACGTATGAAAGGTGAAAATGTGAAGAGTAATGGCGAACGGAAAAACAAAAGTGTCCAGGGGCGGGAAATCGAACCCACAACCTTCTGCTTACCGGGCAGGTGCATGTCCACTAGGCTACCCCTGGACGTATTTTTTCCGTTCGTAACTAATACATAAAGTAACTTTTTTAATACAATTAAAGGACTGCGGTGTATGATTATAAGGTAATACTTAAAGCCTCCCCGCATAAGTTTCTTTTTTTGTGAAAATCAATATTAATTTCAAAGAGAAATATGTACTATTCCAACTTTTTGGATGACGTATGAAAAGGTTGAATATGAAGAGTAATGGTCTATATATGATTGGGTGACGTATGAAAGGGTGAAAATGTGAAGAGTAATGGCGAACGGAAAAACAAAACCAGACCATAGACCATTACTCTTCATATATTCAACCTTTTCATACGTCATCCAAAAAGTTGGAAGTAGTACATATTTCTCTTTGAAATTAATATTGATTTTCACAAAAAAAAGAACTTATGCGTGGGAGGCTTTAAGTATTACTTTATAAATCACACCGCAGTCCTTTATATTGTATTAAAAAAGTACTTTAAGTATTAGTTACGAACGGAAAAATACTTCCAGGGTAGCCTAGTGGACATGGCACCTGCCCGGTAAGCAGAAGTTTGGGTTCTATTCCCGCCCCTGGACACTTTTGTTTTTCCGTTCGCCATTATTCTTCACATTTTCACCCTTTCATACGTCATCCAATCATATATATACTATTACTCTTCATATATCAACCTTTTCATACGTCATCCAAAAAGTTGGAAATAGTACATATTTCTCTTTGAAATTAATATTGATTTTCACAAAAAAGAAACTTATGCGGGGAGGCTTTAAGTATTACTTTATAATCATACACCGCAGTCCTTTATATTGTATTAAAAAAGTTACTTTAAGTATTAGTTTACGAAACGGAAAAATATGTCCAGGGTAGCCTAGTGGACATGGCACCTGCCCGGTAAGCAGAAGGTTGTGGGTTTCGATTCCCGCCCCTGGACACTTTTTGTTTTTCTGTTCGCCATTACTCTTCACATTTTCACACCCTTCATACGTCATCATCCAATCATATAGACCATTACTCTTCATATATTCAACCTTTTCATACGTCATCCAAAAAGTTGAAAATAGTACATATTTCTCTTGAAATTAATATTGATTTTCACAAAAAAGAAACTTATGCGGGAGGCTTTAAGTATTACTTTATAATCATACACCGCAGTCCTTTATATTGTATTAATATAGATTATATTTGTCAATTCACACACACGAAGCTAAAATAGATATATGTGATTTTTCTTATAATTCTGTAGATGACATTTTAATCATTTCGCAAATCAAAATGAATATAAATAATCTTTATTTTTATCTTTATCTCTCCCTCAAGTATGTCAAATCTTGGTCTTGAGATAGGTGATGCCAATTACCACTCGACGACCTGCCCCCGGCGGCTGAACCCTTACACATGGGGACCTATGGAGACATTGTATATATTTATATGTAATTCTAATGTGCTAAAAGCTATGTCCATATTTTGAATCAATGCCATTTCTAAAATTATATCTGTTAGTGTAGAATATAAAAGCAAATTGATCCAATACATTATTAGAGCTCTTAAGAAGCGGTCGGTAGATAAATTGGCGAAACCACTGTGAGGGTTCATCACTGATGAACCAAGCCCGCCCTCCCAATATTTTTCATTGCAGTAAGGACAGTAGTAACTTTATTGATGTGAGAGGGAAACATTCGCGTCTTAATGTTTTCATTTGTTGTTTATAGATGGCGCGTTATTGATTTGCATTGTATATCAACATATATAGTCACGACGTCTTTCCTCAACAATTCCTCATCTCTGTCACGGATGCGCGCGCATCATAAAATCATCATCATTACAATGAAAATAATAATATTATTATTATTATTATATTATTATATTATTTTATTATTATCACATATATAGTCAGACCGTCTTTCCTCAACAATTCCTCATCTCTGTCACGGATGCGCGCGCATCATCATAATGATCATATCATTATCTAATGATAATAATAATAATAATTAAATTATATTATTATTATTATTTTATTATCAACCATATATAGTCACGACCGTCTTTCCTCAACAATTCCTCATCTCTGTCACGGATGCGCGCGCATCATCATTATAATCATTATCATTATCTAATGATATAATAATATTAATTATTATTATATATTATATTATTATTTTATTATTATCAACATATATAGTCAGGATCAGGACCGTCTTTCCTCAACAATTCCTTATCTCTGTCACGGATGCGCGCGCATCATCATATAATTATTATCATTATCTAATGATAATAATAATAATTATTATTATTATATTATTATTATTATTTTATTATTATCAACATATATAGTCAGACCGTCTTTCCTCAACAATTTCCACATCACTGTCACGGATGCGCGCGCATCATCATAATGATCATATCATTATCTAATGAAATAATAATAATAATTATAATTATATTATTATTATTATTTTATTATCAACAAATATAGTCACGACCGTCTTTCCCTCAACAATTCCTCATCGCTGTCACGGATGCGCGCGCATCATCATTATGATCATTAGCATTATCTAATGATAATAATAATAATTATTATTATTATATTATATTATTATCAACATATATAGTCACGACCCGTCTTTCCACCGTCCAATTCCTCAATTCCTCAGGTCACGGATGCGCGCGATCACATTAGTATTATATAAAAAGCCAACAATGAAGAATGAATGTAAGATAAAAATCCAACAATGAAGAGTAATATGATATAAAAGCCAACAATGAAGAATGAATGTAAGATAAAAAGCCAACAATAAAGAGTAAATATGTAATATAAAAAGCCAACAATGAAGAATAAATGTAAGATAAAAAGCCAACAATGAAGAGTAAATATAAATTAAAAGCCAACAATGATAATAAATGTAATAAAAAAAGCCAACAATGAAGAGTAAATATATAATATAAAAAGCCAACAATGAATAAAAATGTAAGATAAAAAGCCAACAATGAAGATAAATATAATATAAAAAGCCAACAATGAAGAATGAATGTAAGATAAAAAGCCAACAATGAAGAGTAAATAGGTATAAAAAGCCAACAATGAAGAATGAATGTAAGATAAAAAGCCAACAATGAAGGGTAAATAATATAAAAAGCCAACAATGAAGAATAAATGTAAGATAAAAAGCCAACAAAATATGAGAGATAAATATAATATAAAAAGCCACAATGAAGAGTGAATGTAAGAAAAAAGCCAACAATGAAGAGTTAAATATATAAACAACAACAACAACAAAACAGCTTTATTAGGGCATCTTGCCCTGTACGGATTCTCCGTGGAGTTACAGACAATATTAAACCATAAGAGAACAGGTGAAAATATAGTATTTACAGTCAAGGTATGTCAACAGGGTGACTATTTTGTGTGCCCCAGTTCTTTTCTCTTCCATGAGTGTCAATTTTATTCCCAACCGCTTTTTAGAAAGTTTGAACAGTTCAATTGCCCAACTTTTTCTTGATCTGAAACAGTTTTATTAGCTTTATTGAGTTCAAATGCGGTCTAGGAAGACTTTTCCAGGATCTTTTCTCTCTCCTTCCAGATCCCCGCATTCAGCAGTTAAAATGGTATATTTCATCAGAGTTATCTGACTTCCACATAACCCACAGTATAAATCTTCTTTCTTAATTTGCGTAAATATATTTTCTTTGATCAATGTTGACATTAATCTGAATCTGTGCAATAAAATCACTAAAGCTGAAGCCTGATTGCATGAAAAGTAATTTTTTGGATTAAATGAATCATAAAGTAACCTATAGTTAGGAATGTTTTCGTAAGAGATAATTTTGCCAGATCTTGCTGCAATAGCTGTTTCAATTTTTATTTTTAGTATATTCGGAAGTTCGATCTGTATGTCATCATAATTTAACCTATAGTTTAGCCATGTGATTGAGTAAATATATAATATAAAAAGCCAACAATGAATATAAATGTAAGATAAAAAGCCAACAATGAAGAGTAAATGTAATATAAAAAGCCAACAATGAAGAATGAATTAATAAAAAGCCAACAATGAAGTGAATGTAATATAAAAAGCCAACAATGAGAATGAATGGAAGATATAAAGCCAACAATGAAGAGTGAATGTAAGATAAAAAGCCAACAATGAATAGTAATCAACATAATAGTCACGACCGTCTTTCCACCGTCAATTCCTCAATTCCTCATGTCACGGATGCGCGCGCACCATCATTAGTATAATATAAAAAGCCAACATGAAGAATGAAATGTAAGATAAAAAGCCAACAATGAAGAGTAAATAAATATAAAAAGCCAACAATGAAGAATAAATGTAAGATAAAAGCCAACAATGAAGAGTAAATATAATATAAAAAGCCAACAATGAAAATAAATGTAAGATAAAAAGCCAACAATGAATAATAAATGTAATAAAAAAGCCAACAATGAAGAGTAAATATAATATAAGAAGCCAACAATGAATAATAAATGTAAGATAAAAAGCCAACAATGAAGAGTAAATATAATATAAAAAGCCAACAATGAAGAATGAAATGTAAGATAAAAAAGCCAACAATGAAGAGTAAATATGATATAAAAAGCCAACAATGAAGAATGAATGTAAGATAAAAAGCCAACAATGAAAATAAATGTAAGATAAAAAAGCCAACAATGAAGAGTAAATATAATATAAAAAGCCAACAATGAAGAGTGATGTAAGATAAAAAGCCAACAATGAAGAGTAATATATAATATAAAAAGCCAACAATGAATAATAAAATGTAAGATAAAAAAGCCAACAATGAAGAGTAAATGTAATATAAAAAGCAACAATGAGAAGAATTGTAAGATAAAAGCCAACAATGAAGAGTGAATGTAAAATATAAAAAGCCAACAATGAAGAATGAATGTAAGATATAAAGCCAACAATGAAGAGTGAATGTAAGATAAAAAGCCAACAATGAATAGTAAATCAACATATATAGTCACGACCGTCTTTTCCACGTCAATTCCTCAATTC